AAAAAAACAGCAAATTTACGTCGCATATGGTATATGCGACGTAAATTTACTTCGCGTATTGGTATATGCGACGTAAATTTACGTCGCGTATTGGTATATGCAACGTAAATTTACATCGCGTATTGGTATATGCGACGTAAATTTACATCGCGTATTGGTATATGCGACGTAAATTTGCTGTTTTTTTTTTAAATTTTTGAAAGTTTTTACGTCTGTTTAGTGGTATATGCCATGCAAAATTACGTCGGGTCTTGATAACTGACGTAAATCTATGTCGGGCTAAAGGGTCCGATGTAAATTTACGTCTCCCGTTTTAACGTCGGACTTAAATACGACGTTAAAAACCCTAAATACTTGACGTAAAAGTCCATTTTTGCACTAGTGTGTCTTGCGGATTGATTGTCACAATATAAAGTTGTTGGCATGACTGGTTGAGGACGTAGGTCTTGAAGAAGATAATAAAGTCATTCAAGCTCACAGGTTGTGGTTGCAAGCTCACGATACTCGACTGCTGCGGAAAAATGAGAAATAGTGCTCTGTATCATAAACTTCCAAAAAACTAAAGAAGTGTTAAGAAAAATACAATACCTTGTAATAGAGCGCTTGGTATTTGGACAATGAAGAGAAGGTATAGTTATGGGACTCCATATGTCAATATGGATTAAATGAAAATTTTCTATAGCACGAGTAGTACTTTGTTGAAAATGTTATTTGTGTTGTTTAGCATAGTGACAAATATCACACACAGTTTTAGTATTTGGACGTATATAAGAAAATGTTCTACATATTTGTTCTACAATTTTATTTGCAGGATGTTTTAGTCTATATTGTCATAGATCAATATCAATTTCTTTACAAGTTAAAGCAAAAATGAAAGGTAAGAAATTTTTGTCAAGAGTAGGAGAAAACCTATGTAGGCAACATTATCCAAAAGTTTCAAAAGTTTTGTTTACAATTTCTTTACCTTGCTTACTTCCATAATTAGATAATCCGGTAGTAGAATTTCTTTAAACATGATTAACTTTGTGGTTGGTTCTCTCAACATTATCCAAAAGTTTCAAAAGTTTTTTATTTGCTCAGGAGTGAGAGAATTAGCTTCTTGTTTAGAAATTTGAGTGTTGTTAAGTGGTAAAAAGTTGATATAATTATACTTTGAATTGTTATGAAACCACTTAACTAATGCTAATTCTAATATATTTTTCTCCCAATATAGGATGAATTCAAGAATACCTTGATACAAGAGTAAGAAGCATAATTGACAGCAGAATTGGAGTATAACTGGAAGAAGGAAGAAGATTTTCAGCATGGAAGTCGCTCAAGCGGGATGGATTCTCGCTTGAGCGAATGTTAGTTATTCTTCTCTGGAATTCACTCGCTCAAGCGAGCCAAGATTCGCTCAAGCGAATATCAGTTATTCTTCTCTAAAATTCACTCGCTCAAGCACAAGAAAATTCGCTTGAGCGAATGTTAGTTATTCTTCTCTGAAGTTCATTCGCTCAAGCGAGCATTTTGTCACTTGAGCGAAAACAGGCTACTTTCGCTTGAGCGAAAGTTTTCGCTCGAGCGAAAGACGTGAAGCTCAAAAGCCCAAATTTTTCCAATAAAAAGAGAAGATGTGTTTTGAGAAAAGTAAGCGGTTTTGGAGGAGAAGAGGCGCGACTACTGTTATGGTCTCGTCCAATCTTCATCAATTCTTCACTTCTTCCACATTTTGAGCATTGTAATGGCCAACATGAGTGACTAACTTCATTCTCTTAGGATTCGGTGCACTTCCTTTGAACTCTTTTGTATCATGGTGATATTTTGAGATATTAATCTATGTTTTGTTGTTGTTATTCTTATCATGTGTGCTTTGGAATGATTTATTCTTGATGTTTGAGGTATGATTGGAAAATATATCTTGAACCCTAGATCGCGGTAAGAATATTTGTTACGTTAATTGCCAAGAATGGAATGAATGTATCAATTGTTTAACACCCTAAACCTAATGCTGGAAAATCTCTTAATTGTGTGAGGAATCAACATTTATTAGGTTTTCTTATGAATTTCATGTGTGAGGAATCAACATGGATGATTTGAGTAGGTGACATCAACATTGTTAGGTTAATTAACGTTCTTAATTGACATAGCCATTACAAAAGAGGGATAAGGAAGAAAATCAATCCTAAGTACCTTTAATTGATATTTTTTCAACAATTTACAGTTCTTTGTCCTTTAATTTCAATTCAACTCTTATTGCAAAACCTAATATGTTTTAATCCTCTTAGTAAGCATAATTGAGATTTTCCATTGAAACCGTTTCTCGTGGAATCGACTTTTATTTAATCGAAATACTGTACTGCGATTGATAATTTTGGTACGCTTGTCAATAATTCAACAAGTGTTAAGTTGTAAAGAATCTTCCTTTGTGTTGAAATTACACAATTGGTTTTGGTTATGACTGTTCACCTACTTGATTCTCTCTTAATCACCTTTCTGTTTATACCATAATTGATATCATAATGGATACCCTATTTAGAGTAACACTCATCCACCTTATGATTCATCTTGTTACAAAAGGAACATTACTTTCTATAATTGAGGTTCCTTCCTCTTCTTCTCCCTTATCCTTCCTAATTAGTATTGCATATTCCTTGTGACTTCCAAGACCCTTGTTCATTCTATTTCCAGTTGTTTGATTTTTCAGCAGTATTGATCAACAACTTACTTTCTATAATTATACTTCTAGTTCCTGTGAGTTGCTTTTCTTGTTGCATGCCTAGAGAAAATACCTTGTTAATATTAGGTAGGGGTTCCATGAGTAGAATTTAAACCTTAATCGTGTTGTAAACATTATTTAAACCTTTTAAGAAACATATAATATATTATGTTTTCCGGATGTAGGTTTTTGACATATTACAAGTATAAGAACAATTAGGTTTAAGTCTTAAAAAATCAAGTTCCTCTCAAAAAATATTTAAATCAATAAAAAATTGGGTAATATTTCTCTCACCTTGTTTGATAGAAGGTATTTCTGGTAACAATTCGATATCTTAAAATAGTCACCTTTAGAAAAAATTTCTTTCAATTCAATCTATAAATCTTGAGGATTGTCAATCACTATAAAAAATCATTAATTACCGACGGATAATTACCAACGGATAAGTAGTCGTCGAAAAATGAGTGGTTACTTACTGAAATTATCGAGTAATTATCGATCGGATATATCTATCGGTAAATTAATAATTAATTTACAATGAATATATCTCGTCGATAAATATTTATATATTTACATGAATATACATTTACTTGTATATAAATATAAGTTATTATTAGAAAATTGTAATAACTTATTAATTGAAGTATTAATTTTTAATTTTAAATATTGAGTTCTCTTAATTTAATAATAATAAAATATAATAAAATACTATGAATAGGGAAGTAGAGCACGAAACCTGTAAAAAGAAGTTACCATTTGTATATTATTTTTCATCCCATTAATTAACTAATTATGAAAGTTTAATTAGTTATGAAACATTATCAATTAATCAAAATTAACGTGGTATGAAAATCAGTCATAATAGTATCATAAAATTCTTTATATAATTTTGACATCACTTGTCTTTAATATACACATTTTTATTTAGTTTTCTCTATGTGAAAAAATATGACTAAACATTAAATGCGTGCATTGTTCTTAACGGCAATGAAGGCAATACTTGATGTTGACCTAAAAATCGTTATCAAAATTGCGTAGGAAACTTTGGCTTCTCATATGATTGTCGTTTTCTCCATCTGTTGTCTCATAAATATTATTTAAAAAATATATTTAATTTCTCATTCTTAAATGTGAGAGGAACCACTAAGTTTGCCCCGATAATGAAGTTGACTATGATATGTGACACGAACCTCTCTTTGGAAAAATTCCACGGAGTAAAGAAAAATGTCATTTATTATGAAATCACGTGTTGAAAAAAGAGAGAGAAGAAAATATAAAATTTCTGCATGTGAATTAAAAACATATTTGTGTTTTTTTCTTTCTATTTATTCTTTTATCTTTTTGAGTAAATAGAGGAATTTTTCTCTTGGTTTGAAGAACCGTCCAATATCCAATATAGTGTGTTTTTTTTGTCCTTTTCATAAGCAAACGAATTTACCTCAAATAAATGCTTTCTAAGGGAAAAAAATCATGAAAAGATAAATTTTAAACATACAATTGTCCTGAAAGTTATACAATTCTCACTTAAAACTTTAACGTTTACAAGGTCAAATAACATAGGATTTTTTTTTTTAGTTTATTAATTTTTAATTAATTCCGTCCTTGTAATTTTATTTTTTATTTTCATCTCTACAATTTTCTATTAAATTATCGAACAAAACCTAATTGCACGAAACATAATGAAACAAAAATAATAGGATAGAAAATAAATAAAAAAGTATAAAAATAATAAAACCAAAACACTCCTTTAAGGAACTAAAAAGTTGTTCTCACCTTTTTTTTTTTTTTTTTACTCATGAAACTGATACATTGATTTTGTTAGTTATTGTTAAATATAGGGAAAAATTATATAGGGTTAATTTCCTTATGTATTTACCATACATAGAGCAGTATATTTATAATAAAGAAAGGTACTCCTCAAAAGAGTAACAGAATACAAATAGGGTAAATAAAAAGATATTATTTGATAGTGTGATTAACAATATCTAACAATATCTCAACAATATCAAACAATATCAACTAATATCTAATCATATCTAACAGTTCTATCATCCTTCCCCTACTTCTGTTATTATTTATTTTTTCACACTTCTTTAACTGGACAAAGAGGGTAAGAACATTATATAGCAGGGAAAACGCAAAAAAAGAGAAGGAAAAAATACATCAACCTGAAAGTGTCTGACAATAAATTCGACGAGCTCTTCTTAATCTCCTCATGTTGAAATCTTTCCACAATATAATGAATAAAAAAAAACTTTCCTCAGAACACTAGTTACTATCTGAGAGATAATAATAGTAATGATCACTTGCTCTTCAGACGCAGGAACCACTTTGGGGAGTACATCCTGAACACTTTGTAGGCTGAGATGGTGGATATTAGAGCCATTAAGATGGACGCTATATAGCCACATAAGAAAGCAGCTCCTATTTGGATGCAGAATCTGGTGAACTTGTCGCAAACCTTTAGCCACTGAAAGGCTTCTGACCCAGTCACTGCTATCATCGAGGCTCCAGCTGATGCAGTGTTTGTAGCAAATGTTATGTATACAGCAATCTGTTCACAAATTTTAACAGAAACCAATTTTGTCAAATGGCCAGAGATTCAATTTCACACATTTAATCTTCTTTTTTTCTTCATCTGGTTGATTCAATATCTTTCCACAATTATATTGGACAAACATTACCACAACTGCACCAGCTAATAATGACTTCTACAAAATCAATTCCATGTACGATTTGTCTAATTGTGCCTTGCAGATAGGTTCAGACTTTTCCTTAAATAAACATGACCCCATCTCTAACCCACGGGAATCCATATCCGCTAATTAACTTGAGCTAGCTATATCTAATTGGAAAAAAATTAGTGAACTAACAAACCTTTTGTACTGAACAATTTGAAGATTCTGAATCAGCTTTAGTTAACTATTTTCTTCTCTAGTAACCAGCTACAGTTATATCTTGATCAAAGGATGGAAATACGCAAGGCTTTTCATGCAAACATACAAAACATAGATAACTGAAAAACGAATAATTAATCTACCTGATCCAAGAATAAAGAAATCCAAGCCATGCACATGTAAGACCCTCTGAAGTTTCCTCTAGAGCAAGTTGTGTGTTTGCATAATTGAAGCAGGTTATAAGCTGCAGCCGCAGATGTAACATACACCAAGATCCTATAGAAACATAAAATTCCTGGCTCTAATTTCGAGAATATTAAGCCACAGCAATGGGAGAATAATCATAAAGGGACAGGGGGCTCTTACTTGAGAGCGTCCAAGTCACTGTAAGTAGCCTTCTTCTCAATACTCAAGAACACAACCTTGGTTTGAGTATCAAAAGCAACCAAGCATGCAGTTAATACCAAAACCAGTATTGCTGAGACCCTTAGATAGACTTCCCCTCTCGCCATTCCCAACTTCATTTTTTTCACCAGATGAATCGATTATGTCCTGTGCTCTTAATTTCAGCTCTACCTTGAGCTTATTTATTGAATTGTAGTTGACATATCCCTATTCCTTATATTATTATTATGGTTCCAAAATCGTTGACCTCATAATTCTGGCTGAGAACTATACACGAGTGTGGTATACATACGAACCTCAACAATTACCTAACTTTTATTATTATCCATCTTATCCCAACTAAATTAGTTGTTGGATCTCCATCTTTTCATGAACTTATTATGGCAGAAATAAGTGGTTTTTAAAACTACTGATACTGATACATTACACATTGCAGTTGTATGGTTTTAAGGTTTTCTATGTGTTCATAGCAAAATTAAAGTGATAGAGACTCATCGGATAAAGTGGGTTGAGACTAATTTTAGCTATATTTTTCTTGTTTCGAGAAAAATCGTTACTTGAAAGTGATGTATAAGTCTGCACAAGCATATATAGATATATGTATGTATATATATGGGACGAAACTGTACAAGTCTTGTGTACATTTAAAAGGAAATGGTCATTAAATTGTGGGCACAAACTACCTTGCTAGGCTGGTTTACTTTATTACCACATCAGTGATCCAACCAATTTTCACTGACTCCATAACACTTTTTTTGTCTCATTGAAATGCAATGTGCTGCGTGTACGTGCTCAATTTATGGAAATAGGAAATGAAAGTGGCCTCAATTATTAAGATCCACGCGTGGGACATGTGGAACTGATTAAAGGATTTTTAAATTGAATTAATCCTCACTCAGCACGACTTTCTGTGTGCTATTCTTGTTTTTACTTTTATTAATATTATTTTATTTTTATATTTTCTTCTTTCTTAAAAGTACTTTCTATTCAACTGTGTTATAAATTAAACACATATTAAAAAAATTAAATTATGAAATTGTGAAGAAGTTTTATCATAAATGTCCTACATGAATCAACGCTATGATCACAACTATATATATAAAATATCTTTCCAAGTGATATAACCTAAATTTTGGCTTATTGAGAGAGGTGAAGTTAGTATACTATTGATGAAAAAGTGCAGAGTCTGTATTGTTAATATGGTTATAACATCACGATCTTATATACATAATTTCGTAAAATATTTCGATCACGATTTATGAATTAATTAAATTAAGTAATAATTTATTATACTAATGAAAAGTATTAATAGCTTTATTTATTTTAAAAAAATTATAAATTAAAAATTTGCTTGATTAATATCTTTGTTTATAAGTTTTAAAAACATGTTTTGTCAAACTAATTTTGAAAAACTGTTTTTGTGTTTTAGTTTTTAAAATTTAAAAAGTCAAAATTGATAAAATATCTTATTTATTTTTAGCTTTTTATTTTTATAATGGTTAAGGATAACCATTATCACCTTGATAATGACATACAATGTTTCACTCCATATCATACCATCTTTTGTTTAAATAAATTTTAAAGAAGTTTTTATTTTTATTTTATTTTTAATAATAATTTTTAAAATTATTTTTAAAAACTACAAAATAAATCTAAACCAATCATTAAGATAATTGGATTGGAGGAATAACAAAAGTGATTAGCCTATTAAAATATTATAAAAAATCCAAAATAAACGTTATTTATCATCACCGTAAATTTCAAACTATTTATAAGAAAAACAACATATAAATATTGAAAGAATATTCGATGTTTATAAAAACAAATAATTAATGATTTTGAATTATTGTAATTAGCATCATTAATTATTTGTTTAAGTTTGTACTTTAAGTTAAATAGATTTAAATGATTTAGGTCAAAGTTTTAAAAGTTCAAGCATATATAAATTTACTGATGTAAGTTGATTAAATTTTCAGTCAATGTAAGGTTAGTTAACTTACCTTTCAATAACTTTACTTTTTATAGAATGTAATTTTAATTAATCCAATTACTGAATTTTGTAATATCATCTTAATGATAATGTACACTACGAAAAATTGAAATTACCGACGGACAAAATCCGTCGGCAAATGTTACGGGTAACTACTGATAGATTTTCTGTTGGAAATATTTTTATTATTTAATAATTTTTTATATTTTTATTATTTAATAATTTTTTTATTTATTATATCCTCTTTCTTTATATTATTATTATTATTATTATTATTATTATTATTATTTATTTCCCCTCTTTTATATTTTTAGAAGTATTAAGAGAATTCTAACTAACATGAGATTTTTTATATTTTTATTATTTAATAATTTTTTTATTTATTATATCCCCTTTCTTTATATTATTATTATTATTATTTATTTCCCCTCTTTTATATTTTTAGAAGTATTAAGAGAATTCTAACTAACATGATCCGAACCAAGTACCTTAGAGTTAGAGGCGATACTCCAAACACTAAACTACCATAATTTTTCGATTATAGTTTACAATAAATTATATTTATACACAAATAAATGTAAATCCAAATAAATATATAAATACAATATATTTATATATTTATATATTTGTATATTTATATATTTGTATATTTGTATATTTATATATTTTATATATTTGTATATTTTATATATTTGTATATTTTATATATTTGTATATTTATATATATTTATATATTTATATATTTATATATTTATATATTTATATATTTATATATATATATATATTTAGATATTTTTTTATATATAATTAAATCTTTTTTTAATTTAATAAATTATTATAAATTAATCTAATTATGATTAAATTAATAGATTAATTTATTAAATAGAAAAAATATTTAATTTTTTAATTATGTGAATAATTAATTTATTAGAATATATTTAAAATTAAGTAATTATTGTATAATTTTACCGACGGATATATCGTCGGTAAGTAATTGTTAATTTACCGACAGATTTACCGACGAGATATATCTATTAATAATTAATTGTTAATTTATTGATGGATTTACCGACAGATATATCTCATTAGGTAATTAATTATTAATTTACCGACGGATTTATAGACAGATGTATTCGTAATCTTTTTCTATTCTAAAATACAAGAAAACTGGATTCGATACTAAACATAAAATAGATATCTATCTATATAGATACATATCTAAAAAAATTAAAATTATTAATTTACCGACGAATATATCCGTCGGTAAGATCAATTTTCACAAATACTTTATATCCGTAAGTAATTTCCGTCGGTAATAACTAATTTTCCGATGATTACAAATCCATCGGAAATAAACGATTTTCTCTTAGTAGTATATCAAAATTTAATTAATTTAAATATATATATAAATATGTTATCCAATAATAAATGTGTAAACATCTATCTTTTTCAAAAAAAAAAAGATATATTAAAAATTTTAAAATATATACAAATTAAAATAAAATAATAAAAAGAAGAAAGGGAAGTCAAACATACTTCTTCCTTTTGTGTTACAACCCAACCCAGCCACCAAAAGTGATTCCAATTTCTTAGTACACAATGAATAACACGGTTTCTTGCCACTGAAATGCAACATTCATGAATCAAGCATGGAGTTAAATAAAAGAGGGATTTCCTTTTAAAAAATATTATCAGTAGAAATTAAGGCACACATTAAAGAAAGGTGAGAAAGAGGCATAAAAGAGTAAAAAGGTGTAAGAGAAAGGAAATTCAAAAGTATTCAAAGCAAGAAACCCGAAAATAATTATTTACTCCGTTTTGATCCGATTTCATTTTTGCTTCATATGTAATAATAATGTGTTGTCCCGATTTTATTTTGCTTCATCTGTAATAATAATAATGCTTTGTCCTGATTTCATTTACTTCAAATTTAATACTTTGTCCAAGTAATATCACCATATTTCAAAAAAAGAATTTAAAAAATAAAAACTTATTATTAATATTTTTTTTTCAAATTGAAAAAATATATTGGTAATTTAATTTTAGGTTTTTTATAATTATAATTATGAACTAATCCATTTGTTTTATTTTTAAATATTATGGTGAAATAATATAAGAGTAATTAAATAAATGTTTAAGCAACAGTATTTAAAGTCAAAAGATATTTCTATTTTGAAATATTAATTTTATATAAGTCTATTTAAGCTATTTTATTTTAATATTTTATTATTATTATTATTATTATTATTATATATAATATTAGAAGTAGATAAGATAACACTCATTTTATATTTATAATATTTAATAATAAGATAATTCTAAAATATAAAATATATTTCATTATTATTTCATATATACTTTTAATTTAATAATAATTATTAAAAATATTGTAATCATCTTTAACGTATTTTCAATTTAATTATAAAAAATATAATAAATAGATAAAAAAATTAATATTAGAATTGATAAAAAAACATATAAAATTTTAAATTATTTTAGAAAACTAATAAATATAATAATTAAAAAATAACACTTTTTATTAATTAAAATAATTTTAGATGTATTTTTAGTTTAATTATATAAAAATAAATTAAAATCATATATTTTTAATTTGATTATCTATTTTATTTATATATATTATTGCTTAAGTTAAATTTAAAAATAGATGTTATGGTATACTTTTATTTTGATTTTCGTTAGAAATATTTAAATTAAAATTATTATTGACAAATATTTTGTATAAATAAATTTAATTCTTCGTTTATATGAAAAAAAAACAGGAAGAGAGAGATATTTTTTATTAAAAAAATATTAAAATATTTTATAATTTTAATATTTTTCTACATATAACTAATATTGATTGCGACTCTATTATTATTTTTTTCTTTTTAAATACATATTTTCACAGTTACATCATGATCTAATTAACACAGGATTACATATTTCAAAGATTATTTCATAATTAAACTTTAAGTGATAATTAGTTACTAAATTTTAAAATTATATGAAATTTTACTTGATTTAATTAATAAATAGATGAATTTCGATGGTTATATTAACTTCTATAAACGAATCCATGTATTAATTACGTTTAATATATAAATCAATTTTTTAATGAAAAGAAACTTGAAAATGAAGATTTTATTATTATTATTATTATTATTATTATTATTATTATTATTATTATTATTATTATTATTATTTATGTATGTATTGATTATTAACAATGTACATTGAGCTTTAGTTGAGCATGTTAAGTGATTTTGAAAGTTTTTTATTATTATTTTTTTACATTAGTCAATATATAATATATAATAATCTAAAATTTTGAAGTTTTTCATATTAAATTGTGCAAATGTAATAGTCTATTCTTTTAAATTTTATATCTAATGTTGATCACATTTTCTATTAGTTGATCATTATCATGTATTAAAATAATTATTGAATGTTATAACAATAAATTTTGAAAATAATTAAAAAAAGTTATAAATGAGATAAACAAGGAAAAGTTAAGTTTTTTTTTGTAAGTTAAGCTAAACCTGGAAAAGTCTAGCTTCAATTGTTGCAACCCTTATTTGTGACTACAATGTCACTGTCATGAATGATCTTAAACAATGCAAAGATAACTCCCAAAAAATACATTTTAAAATGTTAAAATTTTAACACTTTCAGAAGGTTATTTTCAAAACGGATTGAAATTTTAATATTGCTAGAAATTTATAAATGTTATTAAAATTTAATCCATTTCAAAATCATTTTCTAAAGAAAATAAAAGACACTTTAAGAAAAAAAAAGTTATATTAATAAAATCAAAGATGTAAATAACAATGGCCTTAAAATAAGTCAATTTAATTAAAAAAATAATACGTAGGCCCAATACATTTGGACTCTCGTCAAATTAACATGAAATTATCAAAATTACTTATTTTACGTAATAAACAATTTCAAATATTTTAATGTGAAAAAAATCATATTTAATATACGTTTTTTTGAAAGTGTCTTTAATATAAGTTAATTGAATGAATTATTTGGAAGTGTAGGCAGAGATTTTTAAAATAACCACAAATTCTAAATTACATTCCACTTTTATTTTAAAATTGGAAAATCATTAACTTGATTATTGAAGTTATTTAAAAATAAAAGTTAGATATTATTTTGATAGGTTCTCACAAGCTTAATAATAGTTCATATTTTATTTCTTTTAAAATAAAATTATAAGAGACTAAAATTAATACGAATATTTCTAGGTTAAAATATTTTATTAAGGTACGTCTATAACTTTTTCTATAAAGTAAAATTGAACTTTAAATACAAAAAGAAATCTATATAATTTGAAAAAAAAAAAAACAGAGAGGAGTATATTTTATATATGTATTTCCTTTTCACTCAGTGTATTTGCTTCACTAAAATCATAATTAATGCATGTACGTGAAAATTCCATATTAATGTTGTTTTTGAGTTATTTATATTTTTTAACTTTATATGTTATCTTGTATATCATATGATTTTGATCTCTTTAATTAATTTCTTTTTCTTCTTAAACTCTCATTGTTTATCCATTGCTAAAAATAAGTATCTTATTTCAAATTTCTTAAGAGTATAACATGTTCTTAAGGTTAAATCTCGAAACTGGAATAGTTACTAACTAACATCAAATGTCTATTAGTTAGAATCAGGATTGTTAAAAATGTACCGAGCCGGTTTCTCTGGTTCAACAGGAGCCATTCTTCTGCCCCATACTCTCTTTTTATATATTTTTAAATGTTAAAAAATTATAAACGTATATTTATTTTATTTTTTAGCATCATAAAATTTCAACATTATATGTCTTTTAAAATTATTATATATATATATATATATATATTAATTATTAAAATAATTTTATTAACCCCAATTCGGTTATTGTATAACTATTAAACTTTAGGTAAATGTAAAAAGGTCTCATTTTAAAAACATCAGTTATAACCACCTAAAAACCAAATCACGCACCATCTTCATCAAGCAATAGTTAATGGGCGACGGTTCACCAAAACTTTGTTTTGATTAAAGTGCTGAGTATGGTAGAATGCACAGAAATTAATAAAGATAACTTTTTCTAGATAATTAAAAAGCAACAATAAAATAAAATTAGGTTTGAGTATCAATTTAATTTAAGGGGGAAATAGTAAGCAAAATAAAGAAATAATTGAGGTTCAATTTATTAGAAAATATTAACTATAAGTATAATTTCTGATGCAGCCAAGCACATTTTAAAATTATCAGAAAAAGTTTCAATGTCCCCAAAATACTTTTATTGCTCAAAATTAATACCGACTTAATTTTTTTTCTATTTTAATAAAATTGATTACATTGACAAGCAATGTCGAATAGTGGGAGAAAGAAATGTAAACCCATATACAAGAGCACGGATTGTATACTTAGGATGACTTGGTGCGAACTGTGCATTCCAGAAGGAGCCCCTGAGGGAATCGTTTTGTGTCAGTGCAGTAATTGTAAATCATGTAATTCTTCTGCACCCATTTTAGCATTTTCTGGTTTGTGGCATCAAGCTGTTGGGAGAGCCAAGTTTTATCAGAAGAATTGGAGTTGCATGAAGAAGGCCCATTGGACCAAACGCATCCATTCACTCTCAGGTCCCTGAATGATGCTGTGAATGGGGCTTGGCTCCAATCTGTCTTCACAAGCCCTCCTCTTGTTGCCCAATCATCAGCGTTCCATAGACTTGAATATAACCTCATAGGTTGCTTCTTTGGGTATTCAACACCCGCACCCTCCAAGTTTTTGAACTCCCTGATTGGTCTACCATCAACATAGAATCTGAAAAGCAAAGGAATCCGTGAATTGAGTTGAATATTGAATGTTCCTATTACCATGAAGGTTATATATATATATATATATACTACTACATATGTTTTAGATTTTATAAACGTACACAACATGCGCAGGATTCCAGAGAAAGGAATAGGTATGAAAATCTGCAGTTGGGTCAAACCAGAGATAGAATTGCTGCTCTCTGCTACCGTTGCCTTGCGTGTACACATTAGTATGAACTATGTAAGGATAGCCACTCAGATTTCCCAGGAACTCAAAGTCTATCTCATCCCAAGATGACCCTTCCGAACGTAACTGCATCATGAAGAAATTATACATTAGAAATAGATAGAATTAAGCTGCATGGACATGCAATAGGAATATGTGTGAGTGTGGGGTGTGTTAAGCAAGTTATTGGCACTACTTGGATCATTACTGAATCGGATAAATTAAGATCGACTGAGGAAACTCACGTAATAAGCGGTGACTGTGCCGGCGGAATTTCCTGGGACAAGTTTGATTTGCATGTCAATCTTCCCATAGAGATACTGGTTCTTGGACTGAAAGCCAGAGCCAGAGGCCCTGTCAAGGGACAGAGTAAGAAGCTGACCATTGTTCAGAATCTTACCTCTGCCATCTCCCCAGGTGACATCAACATCTTGGTACAAGTTGCCAGCATAGGCAACAACGGAAGGCACAGAGATTAGAAAGGCTAGGAAAAGCGCAACCATTGCTTTAACACAGGAGAAAACAACCATTGGACAGTTTGTGATTAATGTATTAGTATGTAAGACAGAAATGGTATTCGGTGCACAACTGATGAGAAGGCAAATTCGTTCCCTTCTCCGATTTATACTAATATGGGGGGATTGTGGAAGCTTGGGGATGTGTTTGAATAATGAAAGTTGGTTGGTGGGATGATGTGGGAACTCAACAGCTGTACAGCAACATGTTTCATTGGCACAATGATTGTAGTTTGTAGTGGTCCATTACGTGGTGCTTCTTTTATTTTACACATTCGGCGCAGAGGCTATGACTTCCTAGGTTTCTTCCACCAAACCAAACCTGGGTTCATGTCTTGCAAGCGTGCGGTATTGTTAACTCTAAGGATTTAGTATTATCCAAAGTGCTACAACTTGAGAATTTAATAATCTAGTTTCTGGAATTTTCCACGTGACCTTTATCAGTCATTTCATTTCATTCTCTAACATGCATGTAAATTCTAGAAGGATGTACCGTTAGGTTTCTATCAATCTAGCAACTTCTGACCCTGTCTATGCTATACATGCAATATAGAGAAATTGAGTCGTGATTACAAGTTAAAGTGATGGAACTAACTCAAAATTGCTGTGCTGTGATGTCCAAGTTGCAAATACTAGTGTAGAAAAACAAATTCTTTAAAACTTAATTCGAGTACTGGGTAGGACATATCTTATTGTTCAATAGCTCTAGTACAAAAAGAATGGTATCTTTTTACTATCAGTGCAGACCCGATACTTTGAAATCTGATTGGACTTTGCTATACTATATACATTAGAGAAGCAGTTTAATTATCCGCATTTCCGTCAAACGTTGATCTTAATTTTAACTGTGTAACTAATTATTCTCCAATAAAATAGAGCCACGTGTGAATTTTTCCTGTGTTTGGGACAAATCATTTGGTACTTACTTCGTAAGCAGAGCTGAATCACCACATATTTCCGAAGTTCGAGACCATTGTAGTCGATATTTTCGCGCGTCTAACGTCACTTCTTTTCGGCTCGGATTGGGGCTAACTTCATGTTCTTTTGACCACTGTCCGGATTTGGATCCAGACTAAAATAAAATGGTTTTTTTCATGTAATTATTTATAACCGTGATTTTTTTTAAAATGTTCTTTTGTTAGAAAAAAAAGAGAAAAAATTAAATATATTCAAAGAATGAAAAATAAAATAGAGTAATATTTTAATAAAAATTAATTATAAAAAAATCGGATACGTTGGCATTTTAGTCCTTATGTTTCTACTAGTTGCTATAACATAGATAAATATTTTTATTTAATAATTTCAAAAATGAAAAATATAAAAGATAAATTTAATATTTATTTTATAAATATTTTGTCACTCACTTAATCTAAAGAAAAGAAAAAAATTATATCCTAATAACAAGTCCAATATAAAAACAGTAGTCCAATCTAGCTTAACAGGTAGAATCAAGTAAAAAAAGAAAAAAATTATGATCAACTTGAATTATATTTTAGATAGTACTATAATTTTTAAGCCTAATTTAATTTTATATTAAATTAATGGAATAGGGGACCAAATTTTTTTTAATTGAAAATTAAAAAATATTTAAATAAAAATAAAAAATAATTTTTTAAATTTTAAATTAAAATAATAAAATTATTTTTTATTTAATAATTAAATATATAAATTATAAATTAATGAGTAATATTAAATTTCAAAATAAAAATAAAAATTTAAAATTTACTCTTCATTATATCATTATTAATTTTATTATTAAATTTTAAATAAATATTTATTTTAATATTTACTCATAAAATAAATTAATTATTTATCAAATTATTTTTTAATACATATAATTTTTAATAAAATAATATTATTTTTATTTTAAAAATAATTATTATTTAAAAAAATGGATCGATAAACATAAGTTTAAACAAATTAAATAAATATAGGTCCGATTTAATTTAAGTCATAATTTTTTTAATTTAATATATTTTTTAAATATTTAAATTAACTAATTATATTAAATTTATTTTAACACTCTTTAAAAAATAATATTCAAAATAATAAATTCGTAACCAGTGAGAAAAAAATAACAATTATTAACATAATGTAATAGTAGGATAATAGTAGGAAGAGTGGTGATATTTTACATTCTATTTTTAATAAAATTTATTTTACAATTTATTTTTATCAATATAATAATAATAGAATTATCAATCATAATTTTATTATTGTATATATTAACAAAATAAAATTATAGAAGGATTGTTCGTTTAAGTTGATGTTGGGAATTCATAAGTCTATTATAAATATAGGTAATTTTAGATAATTACTAATTAAAGGTAATTAAGATATTATATTGTCAAAATGCTTGATTCCTAATTATATATAAACTTCTTTGTATCATTGCAAAAGTAAAATTTAAACTTTAAATGCTTTACTATACTAAATTTAATTGATTAAGGTTGAAATCATATTTAAGCTTGTCTAACTAAGAAATATATCATACGAGAATCATTATTTATTAGAACAAAATTTTGTTAATTTTTCTTTTCTAAAGTTATACCTGTTTTTACTAGTTCGTGTGTATTAAAAAATGTTTTTTCACTTACCAATTTTACTTAGCAATTGGTTTTCACTGAAAATGCACGTGATCTCCTATTAAAGTATTAGCTCATAAAAATGAGTTATTAAATGAATCCCTCAAAAACATAAATTGTATCAACATTTGATCTTACATTAAGGAGAGAAATTTGATAAACAACAAATTAAAGATATTTATATCCCATAGCTAACCCCTCATTTTTTTTATAGTGATATATAGTTTTGCATGAAATTAAGTTAAACGCTTATTTAAATTAAAAAATATTTTAAACAATTTATATTTTATAATTGAAAAGGTTTGTGCTGTAACTTGCTAGAATACCTCTTTCAGAGTCTAAATGATCTCCACTTTACGCTGCCTGCTATCTGTATCAGCTGTTTTAATGATCTCATGAACCCCACATTAATTTGGAATTTAGTCTATTTCCTCCTCTTTCTCTTCATATTCTCATGCTTACCCACAACAATGCCAATGAAAACAACATGATTTTCCTTGTTCTCAAACTAATATATTCCATTTAAAATTCTCTTTACTTTTTGTTTTCACCTCTTGATATAATATTTATAGAACAAACAATTAAATAAAACAGAGAATAATATTATGTTCTTTACTACTACTTAAACATATATTAAATTAAATTAAAATAAAACCGTGCCAAATTTATTTTTGTTTCAGCTTGTATTGATCTTTATTTTATTTTCTAGCTTTATAATTTAAGTCATTGTCAACAACAACTTATTAGACGGGTTCAGATGCATAGTCAATTCCAAGATTATACCAATTATAATTTGGAAATTAATTATAGGTGTATTGTGTAGGTTATTTATCTTTTTAAACTGTTGAAAGTCCCACATCGCCTACCTCATATCATTTAGTATGGTTTAAATACATGTTAGAGTACTTCACATATAACCAATTGATTTTATGTTGGAACCTTAACATGGTATCAGAGCCAAAGCCTAACATCATTTCGGTTATTGTCATGGGCCAAAAGTTGTCCTTTAGTTGGGTCAAAAGTACCTTTTGTCTGGCAGACTTCGTTAGAGAGGGTGTCTTGAAAGTCCTACATCGCCTATCTCATATCATTTAGTATAGTTTAAATACATGTTAGAGTACTTTACATATTATCAATTGATATGTTGGAACCTTAACCAAAACCGATATCATAGAAGTAAACATCGAATATCGTCCATTGATATTTTATCAAGAAATCATGTTTCTTAACTCAAAAAGCTAGTACCTCATAATAATCGAACCGAGAAGATCATATCTGGAACAGATAAAAATACACTAGACAAATTGAAAACCTTCCTAATTATAGAACCCTATTTCTGACAACAATAATATTATATATTTTAGAAGGAGGAAATTAAAATAGCCCAAGTACATGATTGAGAAATTAAAATTTCTATCACTAGCCTGTGATATTTATTTTTTAAGTCTACAATTAAAATGTTTACAAAAAGATTATGGTGAGGTCTATAATTAGCTAGTTATATTGACAAGGGTAGTGGAAACCTCCAATTTATTATGGAGATACCTAAAAAAAACATCAATTTCAAACCTCAATACTCTTATAATGAATATGAATCACACTTCCATGATTTTTTTTTTTGAGAAATATTAATAATACATTTTGTAACATACTTTTGCTTAATAAATTTTATTAAAAATTTAGTAAAAGATGCTGCTGTATATTTTGTTTTTAAAAAATACGTAATGATTTAGTAATAAAAAATTATTTGAATGACCATGTTAGCCTAATATATAAATGTTATATTATCATTCAATTATAAATTATCATTAAAATAATTATTATAAAAATCATCAAATTTATTTTGTATATAAAGAATAGTTTGTGATTTGATAACGAGTAAACCTATTTGACTCTAATGTAATTACCTTTCTCATAAAAGATACGTTTCTAATATTATAGTGAGTTAATAACACAAGATAGTACAAAATAAACACTAGATTTACTACGGAAACAAGGCGTGATTGTTTTATATAATATTAAGCGTGCAAATGAAATGTTTTGTTTATACATGCTCTAATATTAAATATTAAATAGGACCCGATTCATAGTTTGGAGAAACACTGAGTATCTATTTTTATCAAAAAAAATTATTCTAAAATGAAATATTGATAAAATAATTTGAAAAATGAGTGTTATTAGGGTGTAAGAATGTGTGTTTAACTATTTTTCTATTAAAGAATACAATCTGTGTACTGTGTGGAAGGAAGATGAGTTGAGGACCTGAAGAAATAGTGGTAGTTTTAGGAAACACCAATGAGACTAGTCCAACATCGACAACAGTGTATGGCGTTGTGTTCTTATATTCATTTCATGCAGGAACGCGTGAAATGATTCGTGTGGATGTGGGTGTCCATTTGCAACAAACAACTACTCCTTTACTCTTTCCTCATTCCTCACCAGCTGTGAACAACTAATTCAAAATTTCACAACCCACCTTCTTCTTACTTTCCTCTTATCTGCCTATCTTCCTTTTCTTCACCTATAAATACCATTCTTTGCAATATCACTCCACACTTCATCATCCAACATTCTCATAAACAACCAAAAAACAATTCATTCACCTTTTTTTTTTTTCTCAATTTTCATGGCCTTTTCAAGAGTTGCGCTGTTAATATGTATGGTTGGGTATTTTGTGATTGCCTCTGCAGGCAATTTCTACCAAGATTTTGATATAACATGGGGAGATGGTCGCGCCAAGATACTAAACAATGGCGACCTTCTCACTCTGTCTCTTGACAAAGCCTCTGGCTCGGGGTTCCAGTCCAAGAATGAATACCTCTTTGGCAAAATTGACATGCAACTCAAACTAGTCCCTGGCAACTCTGCTGGCACCGTCACTGCCTACTATGTAAGCATATAAATTAGTCATATATTTTCTACCTTACCATATACGTATCTAAATCATTCATACTGTTTATAAGTTTAACTTGCTAGAAATGCTAATGTGAGAATTTGTGGTGCTTAATTTCAGCTATCTTCAAAAGGAGCAACGTGGGATGAGATTGATTTTGAATTCTTGGGGAATTTGAGCGGTGACCCATACATCCTCCACACCAACGTGTTTAGCCAAGGCAAGGGAAATAGGGAGCAACAGTTTTACCTCTGGTTTGACCCAACTGCAGATTTTCACACCTATTCCATCCTCTGGAACCCTCAACGCATTGTGTAAGTTTCTAGCTACCTATTATGCTATCCTCCGGATATTATTATGAACTAATATCACTACTGTACATGTTGTGTTTTGTTTTGTTTTCTAAGTTGTGATAGAAGCAAAGTATTGAGTCCATTTCTTAATTTTGTTTGATTTCAGCTTCTCGGTTGATGGAACTCCAATTAGAGAATTCAAGAACATGGAGTCAAAGGGTGTTCCATTCCCAAAAAACCAAGCAATGAGGATACACTCAAGCCTTTGGAATGCAGATGATTGGGCCACGAGGGGAGGGCTTGTTAAGACCGATTGGAGCCAAGCTCCTTTCACTGCTTCGTACAGAAACTTCAATGCCAATGCTTGCACCATGTCCTCTGGAACTTCTTCTTGCGGCTCAAACTCTGCCTCTTCCGGCAATGCTTGGCTCTCGGAAGAATTGGACTCCACTAGCCAGGAGAGGCTCAATTGGGTACAGAAGAATTACATGATCTACAATTATTGCACTGACGCCAAAAGATTTCCACAGGGCCTTCCTACAGAATGCAACACGGCCTAAAACTTTTTAATTTTCCTGTGTACGGATCCATCGAGGCTCCAATTTTCCCTGTCTTTTTATTTTTTTCTATTGAAATTTTCGATATGATAAATTCTTTTATTCATTGTAAAAGTCTTGTTATAAAGCATTCTATTCGGATTGTTCATTATTTCTTTTGGATTTTCCTTGGAGAAATTGGTTATAACTAGTCAGTCAAATATATCAATTGCAAGAGGAAGGTTCTCTCAAGTTAATTTTTAAACTCTATTCTAGATTTAGTCCAAGAATAAAGGGTTGGTTCAATATTATTTTTGTTTTAGTAAAATTAGAATAATCCTACACTCACGTAAACTTGCACAAGTCAATAGGCACGTTAACGAGTTGGAAATCAAATATAATTTTTTATCCAATTTTTATGTCATAATAATGATATTTTAACTTCTTTTAAAACTGTGTTCATATTAACGATTTATGTTTTTATGAATTTATAAATGATTTAGTTATTTATATATTTTAATCTTATTTAGCACTTCACATTCTTTATTTTCATTAATTTTTTTATTATGAGATGGAAATATTGAACTATTGTTGTATTAAAGAGTATTATATTATACATGTGTCATCAATAATTTTTTTATTTTTTATATTAGATCAACTTCTACAAGTTTACATGATGAAACTACCAGTCAAATTTGTAAAAGGTTACCTAATTTTATATATAGAAAAAAACATTAGTTTATAGAATAATTTTCAGCAGTTAACTTTTTGAAAGGGATATAAAAAAGAAAAAGAAAAAGAAGAAGACAATATATTGTCATTTTTAAAATTGGTCCAAACTAATCAATTTGGTAAAACTGGGAACCGACCACGTAATCTAACTGGTCACTTACGAAATCATCAAAGTGATTATATATAGAGAACCACATCCTAAAATACACTTATTTAACAATTTTCTTTATTAATATTATAATTATAAAGTTATTTAATTAAAATAAAAAATTAATTACAAATTATTATTTTATTAATAAATCAAGTTATTTGTTGATGGTTAGATAACACATAAATTATGTGTTTTAATAAAACTTAATAAAATTTTATATTTTACTAAAACACATAATCTAGTCATTTATATATATTTTTATGTCTTACTTCCATAAAAAAAAATTATGTTATATTAATTTGTTATTTTTTATTTTGTATGTAAATTCTTCTTGTATAAGTTATTACTCAATATAATTATCATAATATATTTAATTTAGACTTTTATATTTATTCTGTATTTTAAGAATTAAATATGATAATATTTTTATCTTTAATATTATAAAATTAACGGTGAGACTTTAAAAACATTGCACAAGATCATGGATTAAAAATAAAATATCCTATATATATATATATTTATAGAAAATTATTTGAAACTAAAAGTAGGAAAATAATTTTTATTTTTATGCAAAATATTTAATATAAACCCAGGTGTATGTTTGGGTAGAAGAAGGAAACTACTAAACATGATCTTAATTTACTTTACAACCCAAAGGCATGGTGGCGGTGTTGTGTAGATTGGGTTGGCTTAGCTGTGCTTGACCAGGCTATGTGGAGACCCACATGCCCACTCCCCACCCACCAACTTTGCAATTTGGGGAGTCATTAAAAAACTAAAAGCGCGTCCTAAGATGCAACCAAACCACTCCACAGAAACCGAGTATGACAGCATCACACGACACCCAATTTCTAATATTTGAATGTCTTGTTCCATCAACCTGATTGCACTCTCCTCTGTTGCTTCCTCACCTCTAAAGCTACACTTCTATAAATACCACTCCCACTTCTCTGCCACACTCATTCCTTCATCCTTTCCTCGTACATTTAATCACTTCTACACCTTCCTCTTTCTACGTCCAACCCAACCATGTCATCTCTTCGTTCCACATCTTCACCAATAAATATCCTTTATGCATTGGTATTGGCCTCTTCCATCGCAGCTTCTGCTGCCAACTTCTATCAGGATTTTGACATAACATGGGGAGATGGCCGAGCCAAGATACTAAACAACGGCGACCTTCTCACTCTTTCCCTTGATAAAGCCTCAGGCTCCGGGTTTCAGTCCAAAAACGAATATCTCTTTGGCAAGATTGATATGCAACTCAAGCTTGTACCCGGAAACTCCGCAGGCACCGTCACTGCCTATTATGTAAGTATGCATCCAACAAAATGTTAATGTCTTGTGTTTATGCATTCCTCCATGCTAATCTTGTTAAACTTTGAAATTCCTTGATTTTTTATTCTAATTTGGTTTTGTGTAAATGTAATGCAGTTGTCATCAAAAGGGTCAAACTGGGATGAGATTGACTTCGAATTCTTGGGGAATCTGAGTGGTGAACCATACATTCTTCACACCAATGTGTTTAGTCAGGGCAAAGGCAACAGAGAGCAACAGTTCTATCTGTGGTTCGACCCAACAGCAGATTTCCATACCTATTCCATTCTCTGGAATCCTCAGCGCATAATGTAAGCATTTCTCAGTAAAAAATGTTATATTTTAATTTCACACACAGCTTACCACGAATTATATTAATGAATCTATGGTGGTTGACATATATGTTTCAGCTTCTCAGTAGATGGGACACCCATAAGAGAATTCAAGAACATGGAATCAAAAGGAGTTGCATTCCCGAAGGAACAACCAATGAGGATATACTCTAGCCTTTGGAATGCTGATGACTGGGCAACCAGAGGTGGTCTTGTGAAGACTGATTGGAGCCAAGCTCCTTTCACAGCTTCTTACAAGAATTTCAATGCCGATGCCTGTGTCCATTCCGGAGCATCATCATCATCATCATCATCTTGCAATTCAAACTCGGGCTCTTCCAATGCGTGGTACTCCCAGGAGTTGGATTCAACAAGCCAAGATAGATTGAGTTGGGTGCAGAAGAATTACATGATTTACAATTATTGCACTGACACCAAGAGATTTCCTCAAGGCCTCCCCCTAGAGTGTCAAGCATCATGAATTCTTACTAATCCTGCTGCAAACGAATACCTCCACAAAATTCTTCATTATTCTTTGGCCGATTGAATTGATTTTCACTTGTATGAATGTTCATTCTTTTATTCTTTCATACTTATAGTTTCTGTCACACAAAACAGAAAGAAGCGTCATTAATACTCTTCTTGAATCCATTATACAAATTCTGCTCAAATTAATTTGTGTAAGTTTAAATTTTTTTTTTTTTTTTTTATTTTCAAGGTCGTAATACATTTCTACAAGTTAATATTCTTTTGTCGAATCTTTAATGCATTCTTCTATTGTCCACTGACATGAGAAGGGGCAACGTATTAATACATAACGAGGAATAAGATAAGATGTATTTTTAAGTGCTATTGTACGCAAAGAAAAAGAAAGTTTAAAAAATTGAAGGTATTTTTGGGATGAAATCATTAAATAGAGTAAAAGTCTATAAAACTTATTCATACTTTAATGTAAACAAAAAAAAAAAATCTCTTTGGACATGTACTTTTGACTCTCCATGTTATAAATGTGTAGAATTATCAACTGTGTAAATTAATTGTTTTTATAAAGCTTAACGAGTCACATTTAATAGGGTTTTTGTTAATCATATCTTTTTTTTTTCCTACAAACATTAATTAAAATTTTTAAGTTCAATTCTACTAACACCAATAGCATGTTTTGTTTAAGAAGATTTGTTAAATAGATACATTTACATATTGATATAGCAAATACGAAGTCTTGTAAATTGTTCCACAAAATGTCTCTACTATCAAATACTTCTTTTACATCTCATCTTATTACACTTGAGATGGAATCATGCCAAAACATTATCTAAAACAATTGGCGTTAAAATGATAATTTTTTTAATAAAATATTTATGGATCTCCACAAACATCTAGGTATAGTTGAAAAGTTGTTAATAATTAAGGAGTAAGTAGCCATATGGATGAGAATGACACAGTTACAAAATTTATTTGAGAGAGCAAAGGCTACTCCTTATATCCACGCATGGTTGCAATTTTTTAAAGAAAAGTTCATCCCTAACTTTGACTTAGTTATAATTTTTCAATATATTTTTGAACACAAGTGAAGTTTCTCTCTTGTAAGGAATAGAAAATGTTGAATCAACCATATTGTTCATAAAAAAATTGCTTTATTTAGGTTGGATAAATCATGGGATTTTATGAAATTAATCAGAAAATTCATGGTCTATTCTATTTCTGTAGAAGCAATTAAAATTGAAAGTTAGAAAATAAGTAGGATTAAAAATTGTTTAAGAATAGGGATGTTGAATTTCTCCTTGTCAGCGTATTAATAAATACGATAATATAAATAAGTAATCAAAATCTCATTAGTTATATATGTAAAAAAGTTTTACTTGACAATGTATTATTTTGAACTTTTGTTTCTTGAAAAATCTATTACCTAATAAAAAAAAGTTGACTTGTATAAACTAAAGCTCAACATTATGTAACTAATTTTTCCAATATATGAAACTAACATACTCCCATTCATTACTTTTGAGTCAACAAATTATTATAATTTAAAACTATTAACTAACGAAATATATAGAAATGAAGAAATTTTACGCTCATTATTTAAGTACAAAAGTAATGTAAAATGTTGACATCAAAATAACAGAACCGTAGAGATATTTTACATCATAAAAGACCACAAAGGATTATTAAACAAATGAAAGAATGATAGTTAAGGTTATATCGTAACACTTGTTCTGGGTATTGCAAGATCCAAGTCCACCTCTAGGAGTGTGTGCATTCAACCGGAAGGCCTTGAGTAAATCTTTTCATATCCGTGCAGTAATTGTAAATCATGTAATTCTTCTGCACCCAGTTCAACCTCTTCTGAGCAGTTGAATCCAGCTCTTGTGATAGCCATGCATTAGAACCAGACGCAGCAGAGGAAGGTGAATTTGAATTGCATGAAGATTTTCCTGCATTCCAAACACAAGCATTGGCATTGAAGTTCCTGTAGGAAGCAGTGAAAGGAGCTTTGGACCAATCAGTTTTGATGAGTCCACCCCTTGTGGCCCAATCATCAGCGTTCCAAAGGCTTGAGTATATCCTCATGGGTTGGCTCTTTGGAAAAGGAACCCCAATTGATTCCAAATTCTTGTACTCTCTGATGGGGGTTCCATCCACAGAAAATCTGCAACACGCAATTAGAACAAATATGAATTAGTGACTAATGAGCTACTCAGAAACAAATGATGTGTATCTAATTATAGTAGTTTGCAATTTTATGCGTCTAGAAGATTGGATTAGGTGTTAGTGCTTACACAATGCGCTGGGGATTCCAGAGAATTGAATATGTGTGGAAATCAGCAGTTGGGTCAAACCAGAGATAGAATTGCTGCTCTCTGTTGCCCCTGCTGTGTGTGAACACATTAGTATGAACTATGTAAGGATCACCGCTCAGGTTGCCAAGGAACTCGAAGTCAATCTCATCCCATGTTGATCCCTTTGATGACATCTGAAAAGAGCAAAACAAACATTATATTATAAATCTCTGTCATTGTTAGGTAAGATTTAATCATGCAAATGCAATCTGCATAACTTAGCAAATCGAACTTACATAATAAGCAGTGACAGTGCCAGCAGAGTTTCCAGGAACGAGCTTGAGCTGCATATCAATCTTGCCAAACAAGTATTCGTTCTTGGACTGGAAGCCAGAGCCAGAGGCCTTGTCAAGGGACAGAGTGAGAAGATTGGCGTTGTCGAGTATTTTAGCACGACCATCCCCCCACGTAATCTGAAAGTCTTGGTTGAAGTTACCAGCAGCACACAGAACAATGTAAACATTTAGAAGGAGAGGAACAAGTGGTAGGTTTCGGGAACTGGAAAAAGCCATGTCCTAAATGTTTGTGTATACGAATTGAGAAATGAAGAAAGTAAGTTTTTGAATGTGAGTAGGAGATGAATGTGATGAGATGATGGAAGAGAGAAGAAGGTATATATAGTGAGTGAGATTTGGCGCAAGTGGGAGAGGAAAAAGATGGGAAGGTGACTTGCGCACAGTTGTACTATGGTAAGAAGAAAGCTGTGAAAAGCTAGCCATGATAATAGCAACTTTTGTCGTACTTGATTAATTTTATTAATAATATGATTTTAGGTGAAATTGGTGGAGGGTAGAGGGTGTGACTGAGGTAGGGGATCACGCGGGTTTTCATTGCTTTTTTCGAGAGTTGACAAAGTGAGTGTGGTCAAGTATGATGCAAGATGTTTACTCATAGAATAGGTCAAACACTTCACTTAATGCCTTAACTCAACACGTTTCTCACCCCAAACCCAACACACATCTTCAAGGAACCACTCAGGCACCCATTATTTTTGACCTTTTTATATATGTTACCTTATCCAAACGTCACTGGATTAAGTTCATATACACTTTTTTTTTATATAAAAAAATATTACTACTTTAATTAGATTGGTATTTTAAACTATATTAACCATTTGTATTTCCAACTATATTAATAATTTATAATATAACATGTACGTAAAAAACAAACTATACCAAAGAAACACTGGATTTGCATGTGTAGGTAGAGGACGAAACATTTGATTTAATAAGGAAAGAGCGCGTGGTGGTTATGTTGTCGACGAGAGACGTTTTGTTTGAAATGGGACAATGGCGGTGGAGGAGTGTAGGGTAGGATAGGGTCCTTAAAGTTTAGGAAATGATAGTTATTATTATTAGGTTAGCTGTAAAAGTGTTTGCCATGATTGTCATTTGGCGGTGTCCCTCTTGAATCAGATAGGGTTTCTGCTGGAAAACAACTGCACTGGGTCACTGCACTACTTTAGTTACCATTATTCTTACTTAACTCTCTCTCAACTACTAAAACTTGACCATCTCTCAAACTTATTGGAAAGAGACCAACCACGACCCTTCCAAACAATATCTAATCTTTTCTGGATAATAGCGAGTGCCATCTGTACACTTTCTTACTGACAAAAATTAGCCAACTGTCTCCAGCTTTGCTTTGTTTTGCCTTGCAAATTGAAATTTTGCATGCACTTCATCACAGTTATCATCACCAACCGACTTGTTATAAATACCTTCTTTTCGTACACACACTTATCCATTCAATCACTACCAATTGCTAAGGATCCTTCACCCACTTGACACTACCTCTACCACTGCTTTCTAGAGATGGTTGTAACTTTTTCTTACATGCTTTTATTTCCCCTTCTAGTGATGGTTGCCTTTGCTGGTGACTTGAACAAAGACTTTGACCTCACTTGGGGAGATGGCCGCGCCAAGATACTGAACAATGGAGAGTTGCTCACTCTGACTCTGGACAAAGCATCTGGTTCAGGATTCCAATCAAAGAATGAGTATCTCTTTGGGGAGATTGACATGCAGCTCAAGCTTGTCCCTGGAAACTCTGCTGGCACTGTCACTGCCTATTATGTAAGTTCTTCCTTTCACTTTGCTATTATAGAACAATGATAAAAGCAACACTTCGTTTATGCATTCGTTGTTGTTCAGAGTTATAATGATTAAAGCTTGCCTTTTGTTTGCAGTTATCTTCAAAAGGATCAACTTGGGATGAGATAGACTACGAATTTCTAGGGAATCTAAGCGGTGACCCATACATTCTTCACACAAACGTTTTCAGCCAAGGCAAAGGGAACAGGGAACAACAATTCTATCTATGGTTTGATCCAACTGCTGATTTCCACACTTATTCTATCATGTGGAACCCCCAGCGGATTATGTAAGTCCTCATCTTGTTCAACACTAGGCAATTCTATCCTATGATCCCATCCTTAACATAATTTCTGATACTCATTTCAGATTCTCTGTTGATGGCACTCCCATTAGAGAGTTCAAGAACTCGGAGGCTATTGGGGTCCCCTTCCCAAAGAATCAGCCCATGAGAATCTATTCCAGTCTGTGGAATGCTGATGACTGGGCAACAAGAGGTGGACTTGTGAAGACAGATTGGACACAAGCTCCATTCACAGCTTCCTATAGAAACTTCAATGCCCAAGCTTGCATATGGTCTTCTGGGGCATCATCTTGCGGTTCAAGTGCTTCTAAATCCACCTCTGCCTCACCATGGCTTTCACAGGAGCTGGACGCTACAGGCCAACAGAGGTTGAAATGGGTGCAGAAGAAGTACATGATATACAACTATTGCACAGATGCCAAGCGTTTTCCCCAGGGTTTTCCTCCTGAATGCAACATCTCTTGAGCCAAAGACGAAGCATACTCATTGCAATATTATATTAGAGGAGTTTTGTAATGTAATTATTCTCTACTTTAATTCTTTCATTCCTTCTTTCCCTGTTCTCTTCCCCATCACTGTGTTAATGAACACGTCCACTTTTATATAATAAAATTTCCATATTACAATTTGCTACCATTTTTTTATTTTGCACCTTTCGGAACTCGTGTTTTGTTTGCTACTAAAAGGAATCTAATGCATTTTAAATGTGATTAAAATTTAGGTACATCTATGTAAAGAATATAATGTAAAGAATATAATGTATGTAATTTACCCAAATTTTGAACAAGGAAAAGTAAATTTATGAAAAAAAAAACACTATGATTGAACTTTAGTAAGCAAAATTGTAATAGATCTTCCATGTGAATTTGTTATTATATAATAAATATATTCATAAAATTAGATAATCTATCTAAATATTCTAAATTTATCGTAATCCAATATGTTGTTGTAGTTATTCCAAAAAATATTTGTCCGAATAACTGAATCATCAATCAAATAAACCAAACTTGAGCGTATATATAAATAAAAATAAATATTTTTAATTCATGAATGATACACATAATTTTTATCATTCAAATCAATAGAAAGATTAAGAAATGTAGATACTCTCCTACAGAGTGCTCAGTCAAAAGGATAAGCATGAATACTTTTCAACAAACCTATAACTTTTAGATTATTAAAAAAAAAAACTACGGATTGAATTTGAAGGAGTAAAAAAATATAGAAAAAGAGAATAAGACTGGAAAAGATATAATCGATTATATTATAATTTTTTTAAGTTTCTTTATAATTCTATCTACATGATAGAAGAGAAATTTTAACAAAAATAGAAACATAATATAATAATAATAATAATAATATAATCATAATAATAATAATAATAATAATAATAATAATAATATATATTATTATTATTATTATTATTATTATTATTATTATTATTATTATTATTATTATTATTATGTATTGAATATGTAATTTTTATTTATTTCTTTGAGATGTCAATCCGCCTGTAAATCTAAATCTAAACAATGTATAAAAGTGGATATTATTATATATGGATAATATTAATAAAAGTCAAAAAGTAAAAAAAAATGTTTTATTAACTTTGAGTTTTTAGTTTATAAAAAATAAAAATTAATCATATTTTACAAGATAAACATAAGTAGGTTTTTAATTTTTAAAACTAAAAAAACATCTACTTTCAAAATTAATAAACAAACAAATTCATAGTTCATTTGAAATCATAACACTTACTTCTAATATATGAAAGTTTTTCCATTATATCTACATAGGCATAGAAAATAATTACTGATAAAACAATCAACATTTAATCATTAAAAATTAAGTTGATTCTGATTTAAAGTAAATATAAATTAGAGAATCTATAATCTTTAATTGTAAAAAGGAAAACAATATTAAATATAATAGTTCTACAAATTAAAAAAAAGTATGATTTCTTTTATCACTTTAAATTCTTAATTAATTTTCAAATGTTTATTATAACGTATATAGATTAAAAAAAGTTGATAGTATTGGTTCTGAGTGAGATAGAGAGATAGTGAAAAAAATTTATGTAAATAATTATAACAAATGATATTTAATTAAAATTTGAGATGAAAAGTTTAACTAGCTGATTGATTTAGTTTTATTTTTTAATTTTTAAAATTAGTCTTAGAGATAATCTTGAAAAATAATTTTTAAAAATAAGTGTTCCAATATTTTCTTGTATAGTTTAAGAGTTAAAACTAAAAATAATTTATATATATTATTTTCTCTATTAATTTATTAAAATATTTTAAAAAATAAAATTATAATAAATTAGAACTTAAAACGGATAATATTGTGTTTGAATATATCACTCTAATGATGTCGTGCAGATTTTGTTTAAATCTAGTTGAAGTAAATATAAGTGGATAAAATACTGTACCTATTATTTAAAATATATTATATAATTATATGTTTAATATATTTATATATACTTTTATAAATATATTTATATATTTATAAATATTATTTAAATATACTTATATAATATTTATATATGATAATATAATACTTACTATAATTATTTTATATTAAAAATATATTTAAATAATATATATAATTTATTTATATAAAAAATGTTATCTAAAAAGATATAAATATATATATTTATTAAATTTTATTTTATTTATAAAAATATAAATAATTATTTAAATATTATTATATATATAGATTAAATATATTTATATTTATTATATTTATAAAAATATTTTAATAATATAATTATATAAATATATTTTTATTTTATATAAAAATTATATTTATTTTTATTTCATATATATATATATTAAATAAAATTCTATAATATATATTTATATTTAATAAATATTGTTATATATTTTAAAATTTTTATTAATTTTTAATACTAAGTGTGCTATTCCGATAAATAAATAATAGTTACAAATATCACGTGTATTTACTTCAATGCTAGATTTGAGGAAAAATCTGTCGTGCGCAGGTTCTAACTGTCATGAGGAAACTTGGAACGAAACCGACAACTAGACAGTTCAATAATCTTTCTCCCCCATGTCCAAGTGAGACAAACGGTGATGTTAGCCACTGAAATTGCACATAAGAAAAAAAAGAAGGCTGGAATGTGAGTCGAAGACCGTGGTCCAAGCATTCTCAAATGTTGATTTGATACCCTGAAAAATATGATATAGATGTTGGGTCTTACTTAACGTCGTTCATTCTAACGATACATACTTAATTTTAATTTTTTTTTTTTCTTCATTTCTTCTTATCCACTCTTTAATTCTAATAAAGCATTAAGGTTATTAAATCAGACAGCATAGTCCAACTTTTCTAACCCAACTTAACAAATCAAGTAGAAACATACTGACTATTCAAATTGACTTTTATTTTAAAATTATAATTTTTTACTTAATTTAATCTTATTATAGGCAAACTGACCATCAAACTAGTTTTGAGTTGATGGAAAATTTTAAAAAAATGTATTTTAAAAATTTAAGTTATATTAATAAAAATAATTTTTATTTAAAATACAATTGTAGATCCCAAATTTTGCCTGACCTCATAATAAAGACCGGAAGACCTCCTTTTCGAAGATGAATGAAGCCTAAGAAGCCACTAGGAGAGACTATTAGACTTCATACTAGGATAGGAGGAATTTTCGGCATAAAAATAAGGGTTTTCGCCTTTTAGGGTCGAGACCGCCGTCTCGCCTTGCGAAGGTGGCGAGACCGCCGTCTCGCCTTGCGAAGGTGGCGAGACCGCTGTCTCGTTTGGCGAGACAGCCGTCTCACCATTCCCGTAAGACGAGACAGTCGTCTCGACCTTGTCAGACGAGACGGCCCGTCTCGACCTGACAGGCACGAATCCCTATAAATAGGAGCGTCATTCCCCTCATTTCCCACATTTCTTCCACTCTCTCTCTAAAAGTCTCTTCAAATTCTCTCTCTAGAACCCCTCCGAAGCATTTTCGGAGTTTCTGAGTGTTTTCTAGAGCTTTTTATAGCGTTTTTGAGAGATTCTGACGTTGTAAAGAGCGAAGGGCTGCCAAAAAGCACCCAAATTTTTAAAGAATTAATAGAAAGCGTGTCTCGGAGGTTTCTACACTCTTTCTCTCTCTTTTACCGCTTTATTTCAATAATGCAATAGATATAGGGCCATGTAGTCATAATCTTTAAATTCCGCAAAATAAAGGGTAAAAGCGTATTTTTCACCGGTTTAATTATTTAATATAGCTGGCATATCATAGGGAACCCGAAAGGGGCGTCGTAAGGGAAATAATGCTTCCCTTATACGTAACTAACTCTCTTACCTAACTCTGGTTCTAATGACCAAAGTTGGTTTTTTGAAAACCAACGTCTTTTTCATTCATTTTTTGATGTTTCCGGTAAAAACATCGGTGACGACTCCAGAAGAACCCTTCAAAAGTTAGTTCTTGGGTTAGCCCCGTTATCGGACAATCCAAGAGCGCCTTTTCGAAAACCTCGCCACTAGGTTCAGCCCGGTTATCGGACAACCTAAAGGCGTTGTAACCACACCAATAAAAACGTGAAAAATTGAAAGTCGAAACCATCGCGTCGCTCCGACCGCCTCATTTTGACGGCGGCGACAAATGATGACTCCACTGGGGAAGCCTAGAGAGTTGATCCCATTTAGTGATGGGCCAACTTAAAAGTAAATAAACCAAGAAAATTACGCTTTTACCCTACCTTGTATTATAACATGTTTTAATACTTGACTTTAATAACTGTTACTTGTTTATAATTACGCAATTGTTTGAAATACAAACTGTACACAAACCCTCGCACACTACAGTTCCCTCTATACCCGAGGGCAAGTGAGAAATCCATAGGGAGTGGGTGACAGGTACGGTTCGCTGTAGTGATGGCCTTGTGCCCACCAGTGTGATCGGAAACCACCACTCAAGGTGATAACCTTCCTCTTTTGGCACAAAGACTGACTATGGCCTTAGTGTTAAGCATGGTCGGAAGGCTGGAGAGTGGGGACCCTATAATGGGGGCACCTTGGGGGCCTTAGCCTTGGTGAGAACAGTTAGAACCTACCTTCGCCAAAACACTTTTCTGCAGGAAAACCCTACCTCGTGATTAAAACGACTTCTCACTTATTCATGGATGATCGAATTGTGTGTACATCTGTTTGTTGCATTTGTCAGTTGCATAGCATAACCAAACAACAGGAAGATCACAAAAAAAAACATTTCTTACAATAAACACCCTTATCTCGGACAGTCTGCCTTTTAGCTAGCCTGGTTTCAGGTTCTTTGTAAGCTAAGTAGCCACGCAGATCTGACGAGAAGAGATAAAAGGCAAAAAAAAAAATCCAAAATAAATAAAATAATAATAACAAAATCAAAACGTTTATAAAAATAATTTTAACAAAGTCGTATCATTCATATTGCATCATGTCATAAGTGAAAAAACCAAGAG